TGACGACCACCACCACCCGCCGTATTGCCGCTGCCACCGGTTTGACGCTCGCCTTGGGCGCAGCACTCACACTTGCCAGCGCACCCGCAGTGGCTGCAAGCAAAGAAAAATGCTATGGCGTAGCCATGAAAGGCAAAAACGATTGCGCGGCTGGCCCAGGCACTTCTTGCGCAGGCACATCCACCAAAGACTATCAGGGCAATGCCTGGAAATACGTAGAAGCAGGAACTTGCGAAAAAACCGCATCCCCCACTTCGCCTTCTGGCAAAGGCATGCTCAAAGAGTACAAGGAAGAAATGAAAAAATAATATATTTTTCATTGTTTTAACAATATGGCAAGATTGCCAGCAAGTGCGGGGCTAGGTTTAAAGCCCCTGCACTTTACCCAAATATTGCATGAAAAGCCCCTTGTGGGCTTTTTTGAAATTCATGCGGAAAATTATCTGGTCGCTGGTGGCCCTTTTCACCACTACCTAGAGCGCATACGTGCGCACTACGCATTGTCCATCCACGGCGTAGGTCTGTCTATTGGTGGGCAGGATGCACTAGATATGCAGCACCTGGCTGCCATCAAACAGCTTATAGAACGCTATCAGCCCGAGAGTTTTTCCGAACACCTGGCTTGGAGCAGTCATGGTTTAAATTATTACAACGACTTATTGCCCATAGCCTATACCGAGGCTGCCCTTGAACGGGTAGTCAGCCATATTGAACAGGTGCAAGACTACTTGGGCAGACGCATATTGATAGAAAATCCAAGCACTTACGTGCAATTTTCCCACAGCAGCATGTCTGAGCCTGAATTTATTGGCCAAGTGCTGCAACGCAGTGGCTGCGGATTATTATTAGATATCAACAATATTTACGTCAGCAGCCGCAACCACGGCTGGGACGCAAACCACTATTTGAACGCATTGGGCAGCCAGGCGCTGGCCAGCGTGGGCGAATTGCACCTCGCAGGCTTTGCACAGGACCTAGACGCCAACCAAGAGCCTTTGCTTATAGATAACCACGGCGCCCCTGTAGACCCAGCCGTCTGGGCACTTTACCGCCAAGCCTTGCCCCAGGTGCTCAGACACGGTGGCAATATCGCCACCTTGTTAGAGCGCGATAATCACATACCGCCATTACCCGTGCTCCTGCAAGAATGCCAAAAGGCGCAAGACATCATTAATGAGAGCCTGGCTACTAGCACTAGCAGCACCGCATGAAACCCGACGACCTCCAAGCCACCTTTGTCGCAGCCTTGCTAGACCCGGCGCAGCCCTGCCCGACAAATTTGGTCACGCACAATGGCTCCGACCCTACCGTGCGCTTCAACGTGTATCGCAATAACGTCATGTTTTCATTGATAAACGCACTCGCAGATAGCTACCCTGCGGTGCAGGGCACTCTTGGCGAGGAAAACTTCATTCCTCTGGCCGCCCAATACATACGCAGCCACCCGCCTAAGTCGCGGCAAATCGTGCATTTTGGCGCAGATTTTGACGATTTTTTGCGCCTACATCCCTACACCCAGGCCCAGCCAGCCTTAGCAGATCTGGCGCAGCTGGAGCAAGCGCGCATAAGCGCCTATCACGCCGCTGACGCACCCGTTTTAC